AAAATGGTAAGCCCCTCTTGGAGCTCCATAGCACACAAAAAGCTGGTCTAAGCGTCTTACAGTTGTAATGGCAGTGATATATTTCTCCAGTGCTAGCACAACAACTCAGTCGTACCAGACTGTGTTTGAAAGCGTTCCAGTGGCTAGTTACAGTTTGAATGGTGCAGCACCTTGGTGACATATCTGTGAAGATTCTCAGTCATCCAGGTCGTCGTCAAGCTTGAAAGGTAACCTCAAGTTGCGTAAACTGAACTCTTCAAGCGCAACACCTGGGGACAAATGCAGTGTTGGGCCACAAGGAAACACCAGAACCATTTGGATATCTTTGGGGACATGAGGGACTCACAGGGCATGTAGCTCGCCAACCTTTGAGGTTACACTTGAGGTCCGCTTGCACCAAGGGCTCGAAAGGGTAACACTATAAAGCATCTGGAACCAAATGCAGATCCCCATTAAGCCCTCGAGAAGTGAGCACTGCGGAGGGCACAACCTACAAGCACAGTGCAGAAAAACAGACCAGACCATGGCCGGCCATGGACAGTCATCAACAGATCCATGATGACAGCAGCAGGTTGTGCCCCTCCTGGAGAACCCTCTGTAAAGTGGACCAAATCAGCGAGGGAAAAGTGTACAGGAGAACCTGAGACCAGGAATGAGCTAGGGCATTCTGGCCCAATGCACCCTACGCCCCTGTAAGGGAATTCTGCAGAGGGAAAAGAGTTGACTCATCTGTAGCAAACAGATCCACCTCTGCTTGAACAAAGTGGCCCCGAAATCATCTGCACAACATTTGATTGGAATTCCTGCCATATAAAAAAAAAGATTCCATTAAGGAATCCAGGAGAATGCAAGGTGGCAATTTGATCTGCATCTGAATTAGAATCTGCTTAAGAAACATGCATTCCAATTACCATTTGCTCGTATATGAGTCGATAGAATGGACATTTTTTTTGAATAGGTGTTGAAACATCTTCAGAAAAACTGAGCGAAAGTCCGGTTGGCTAACAATTTAAGTCCGTTTTGTGGTCTACAAAGCATAAAAAAAATGGCATACTGACAACAGATTTCATTTAATGTACACCTTACCATTGTGAACAGGACCTATCTGCAGCTTTAATAAAATGTCAAAAGCTCTTAATCTTCTGGTTGACCTATCAATACAGTGCCAGCTTCCTCTGTACTGAAAAATGTCCCAAACAAAAAAAAAAATGGCATGTTTGTTTTCGTAGTTTTAAGTTAACAACCTATCTTAGTGGGTTGTTCTTTCAACAAGTGGTATGTTTTGGTGTCCGTATACTCCATTCTAAGATTCACTTATTTTAATAATTAATTTATCATGGCAATCAGAAAGAAAAAAAGTTGTTTATGGTTTGACAGAAGGTTGTTTAAAATAAGTTTATTAGAACCAGACTGAATTAAAATACATATTTACAATCATTATAGATCAATTTGACTGCATGAACCTGACTTTGAACCTGCTAACGAAAAGCAGAATGTTTCTCTGGTAATAAATTATCCTCATTATCCTCAAGTTGACAAAAGTATGGTTTTTCAAAGAATTTATACTAGAATTAAATAATCCATACAAACAAAGAAAGATTTGATGAAATAAAGGTAAATTAGCTTTATCTACAAGATTCTACAAGACGGCTCTCATGCAGCAGCAGCTAAAAACTGTTTCATGCATCATATAACATTTGGCTATCCATCAAAGAATATAAAAAACATAAAAATTAAAGCAAATAGAGTTTAAACTATCACCTTTCTCCTAGAATAAAAAATCACAGTAAGTTTTATAAGCATATAAACAAAGAGAAGTCAAGTTTTCTGAATCCACTGGAGGTCATAGTAGGCTAGACTCCAGTTTTCTCTTTGATCCAGCGACGAAATTTAGTGACTGCTGTATAGATTCCAGGTTTGTTCCTACGAGGGCAGCCATCACCCCAACTCACCACTCCTGCAAGGAACATCGTTCCATTGCTTTCTGGACAGGATAGAGGTCCGCCAGAATCTCCCTGAAAGAAGGAAATGCAGATTCAGTTCAATCTGTTTAAACCCCGTAATAACATGAAGATGAAAACTGTCACCAAACCTGTGAAATGTGAGATCATTATTAAAGTTAGAATATTTTTAAGAATGGGCTATGATCAACTCATTTCCAAAGTACAAAATACTTTGAGTAAATCTGAATACAATTTTTGAGATTCACATGTGGGCAGAGTGGTGGCCTAGTAGTTATTGCATTGCGCTTGGGTCCCAGAGGTTCTGAGTTTGAGCCCCA